GGAGCACCCTCAAAAACTTTGCTTGTGTCACGTAAGGCCTGAAATAGACCTGAAGGGTCATGAGGTTGGAGCAACCTCATATGGCCTCTATGGATGGTTGTGAACACCAAGGTTCCTGGTTCTGCTCCGGCTCCGTGAAGCAGGTCTGCCTCCAACTTGCCGAAATATGAAATCCTCAGCACCACCAGGGTGACTCCGTCTAGGAACCCTCCTGACAAAGTTTGCAGCGATCTGTAGTCCTTTTCGTGGCGAGGGTAAACGCAATCGTGTACGTTTTGCCTGAGCAAGTGTTCGGTTTCTGGGATCCAAGCGGGTGGGTCACCCAAATTGGCTTGTGCCTCGACCGCTTCCATCCATAGCTGATGTCGAAGGTGGGCGGCAGAGTTCAACAGCTCTTCCTGCTTGGACTCCCCTCTCGGGGCTAGCTGCGCCCCTATCCCCACGTGCAGGGGGAGGCATTGTCTCTCTTCTAATTCCTGTTCCTCTCCCAAGGGAACCTTGGATCTTTCGGGCTTGTCCTGGTAGTCATAGAAGGGGATGGGGCTGAACTGCTGCAGGTCATGGTTGCGCGTTAGAGTTCCTACCCCGACGCCGTCTGCCCAAGTCAGGGATGCCCGGCCTTTGAGGCGTCTGGCTGCAAGTGAGCGAGTTGTAAGCAGGCCTCTTCCACAAGTGAGGGGTGTCCTTCCTCCGCCGCCTGTTCCAGGTAGAGAAGCAGATCAGGTTTTTCACCTCGATCCTCTGCATCAAGGAACCGGGCTATGAGGTGAGATTGGAGGTACTCCGAGGGGTCCTCCAGCGCGTTCAGGTGCCCTTCTTTGACCAGTCTCCTCCATCTGGCCACGCGGCTCAATTCTTCATTCAGGGGTCTGCTCCTCCTCGGTGGGTTCAACCTTCACCTCGGTCTCCTGACCGGGAAGCTCAAGCCACGTTGGATCTGGGCCTTTAACGGCTTCAGCCAAGTCCTTCTCCAAGCGCGTGAGTGGCTGCCGATAATCTTCAGGTACGACCCACTGCGTGCTTCCCGCTCTCTCCTCCTGAGCCCTTTCTTCCTCGCTGGCTTCATCCTTCCCCGTCTTGGCCTTGACCTTAGGCTTGGGCTTTGGCTTCGGCTTGGGGTCTTGCTTCTTCTCATCCTGATCGGCCTGGGCCTGCGACCTAAGCTGAGCTAGCCTTCCGTCGACTTCCTTTGGGTCGATTCGTTGGCTTCCCTTCAGTCCGCCGCGGCGGATGACTTGCATTGCCGCGGCGTAGTCGAGTTTGGCCAAGCCAGGCAGAGGTTCATGTGCGCGAGGGCACTTGCTCCCCTTCTGGCACCCCATGTGTGTTGCTGCGTCCCAACAGATCGGCTTCCCAGTCTTTGGGTCTTTGGGCGCGTGCTCCACGGAACGCGAAGCTTCTGCTGGATAAGCACTTTTGGGTGTTGGGCTCTCTTTTAAGTTTAGCTTGGGCGCTTTCCCCGGCTTTGTGTCTTCCTCTTCCACTGGGCCAGCTGCTTTCTTAGCCTTCAGGTTCTGGTCGTGAAGTTGCTTATGCAACATCCGAGACATCTGGCGCTGTTGTCTGGGGACCACTACTGTCTGGTAGTAACCCTCCGAATCGGAGAGGTCAAAGACATTGGGGAAGCTGAAGTTGGGAGTACCGTCCGGTCCTGGAGCTAATGCGACTAGCTTGAGGTCTTCCAACCGTGGATTCTCGGACCCTATAGGAGAGCGCAGAGTTTTCGCCGTGACTCTCACTTCACACCATGCTGCTACCAACTCTTCGAATAGATCGATGCAGTACTTGGCTGGGAACGCATGTTCATCTTCCTCATGTGCCTCCTTAATGGAGTTCAGGCAGTCCTGCCTTTCTTGCATATGTTCAAGGCCATAGCAGGCGCCGAAAACTCGGATCGAGTTCTCGGCATACCTCAACCACATGTTAAAGACCCCTGGGGGTTTGACCCTTGGTTCAGCTTTGTGGTCTGAGGAAGGCACCCAACTGTCCATCTGTTCAGATCGGGCGGTGACGCAGTCACTAGCGTGGAGCGTATACCCGTCTGTCCCGCCCCACCAGAACCCGGCCACGCCGAGCAATACACGATTGGTCATCAAAACCGGCCACTTGATGAGGTGGAGCATATGGCGTGCGTGTTGCGCAATTCTCTTCCCAGCATGGAAAAGGTCTTTTCCATAGACTCCATCGGCAACCTCCACAGTCAAAGTTCCGCATCCTCGAGCCAAGAAAACGTCCATCTTTTCTCCTTCCTTGACGGATGTCAAGAGGCCCTTTTGGAGCCCCTTGTCCTCGTCATGTGACTTTCGCAGCCCGTCAATGGCATGAATGATCCTGTCTGCGTTTTGGGTTTGAGTCCCATCTCCAAGGGCCTCTGCAAAGGTGGCTCCAGCTTTGTCCTCCTGGATTAGGATAGTGCCAGCCGGTTTGATCAACCCGCTCCCGTTGGACTTCCCCTTTCGGAAGAGGGCAGGCATAGCTTGAGACGCAACTTGGCTGGGGTCGTCTCATCGGGGGGAGATGCCCAAGATTCCACACCTGAGGCAAGCTTGGAATATAATATGTCCCCAGACCGGGTGGAACACCTGGATCAGAGGGGGCTCCATATCGCTGCGCCAGGTGTTCAGGGTCGACCTCAAAAGCCGCGCCAATGGTATGAATGGCTTCTTTGCTCGGCGCTCAGGTCCCAAATTTTTCAAGGTTGCCACTGCGGCCGACATCACGTCCTCTTGATCCTCCTCCTGCTCGGCAACTGGGAAGCTTGGCAGTGGGGGGAGAGCTTCAGTTTTCTCTGAGCTAGCCACAGGCCGTGGGGGTGTTTGGAACTCGTTGGATTTCAGTTCCGGCTCTGGCCCCTGTTTGAGATACGCGTCAGCGTGAGGTAAGATCTCTCTCTGCCCGTCTTCTCTAACTCTCTGGCGTAGGGTCTCTGACAGGATACTTGACCCGTCTGTGAATTTCCCTTCCCATTCTCCCAAGGCATCCGCCTGATGAGGTTGGAGCCTGCTGACTGCCATTGAGAAACCTTGCCCTACAAGGTGGTCATGGGATCCATAGAGAAAATCTGAAATCCATTGGCGACTGAACCTTCCCGACGCATCCTCAGCCTGAAGGGCACTGGCGTGGACCACTCCAGTCAAGCCAAGTCCGGGCACCTTTTCTTGCGCGCGGCTGTCAGCCGAGACTCCTTGGAGACTACCCACCGGCTGACAAGACCTGAAGCGGAGCAGTACCAATACTGGGCCCTGCTGGAGGGACCCCTCAAGTTGATGTTGTTGGCTGGATTGAGGTCCCGCTGAAGCTGCGCGCGCTCTGTTGGGAGTGCCTCTCTCTTGATTTCTTGAACGGGGAGGTCGAGCCGGATTGGTGCACGACGTCGGAGTCCCGGTGTGGCGTCCTAGGCGTGCTATCATCCGGCCCCTCGCTCCAGCTGATTCTGCGGGTAGGGCGGGCGGAAGAGCCGATTTCCATCAAGTGTTTTCTACAAAGGGGAACCCCTTGTTTGGCCCCATCCACTTGCTCATGGCAAGAAAGAACGCTACATTTCCGTCCGGAGCAAGCCGCAATGTACAGCTGTCGGTGGTGGTCACAAAGATGGGCAGCGCATCGATTAGAGATGTCGGACAATTCACGGCCCCTTTCTAATAGCCGGACTCCCTCCCCAGTCGCCTTGTCGGCGCAGGGGTCTACTGCCAAAGCTCGAGGTCTGCCCCCAACTTCGAGCCCGATTAGGACCGTGTCGCACGGGTCTTCGAGAGTCTCCATCTCGGATTCGGAGTCAGGGTCGAGAGCTCTCACGTTTGTTCCTTCCCGAATGACTCTAGCTGGGGCTGGTCGCTCCCAGGCACGCTTCAGGAGAAAGAAACCTGATCCGCAATAGATGAGCGCATGCAAACCACTGAGCAATCGTCTCAAACATCTTCCGAACAACACTACCAGACGACGGGTGGACCATCCCGCGTAGGCCCCAAGATCGACCAGACCATTCGCGTCCACCACTGCATAAGTCTTGCAATGGATCCCAGGGGTGGGCATGAGCTCCAATGGGCAATTCTGTTCGCGGCGCAAGTGCACTTTGCTTTCCGCCTCTAGACTGTGACGAATTGGCCTGGAAGTAGCTCCTTTCACTTCCCGGATTTTCACCCAAAGACCATGTCGGTCTACTCGAGCCCAGTGGTCTCCGTCAGGCTTGATCCTCGCAATCTGTTCGTCCAAAGAGACCACTAAGTCATTTAGTTTTCTTTCAGATCCTCTGCCTTTAACTCCTCGTTGGAAGAACTCGGAGTCGACCCCACTCTGAGTGGATGGACCCCTGAAGGCTAGGGATTCATAGGTTCCGCGAGCCCTCAATTCAGGGAGGAACTCCCCAACCTCGGTTGCCACCGCGCGAGTTTGCCTGCAGCAGCAGGTCAACAGCGTCCGGACCGGACGGCGTACCGAGACGGCCACATAGAGGATGAGCAAGGAGATGACCGTTCCAAGCACAATGAGCACTCCCCATCCAACCCAAGGCCAGAAATCGCCGCAGGCTAACACGCCGATTTTATCTAAGGCATATAGCCCCCACCCGCCTGTGGAGCTCAAACTCCCAGCTTGCCCCGGGGTACTAAACCATGCGGGCCCTATCCAGGAGTAGAGGTCGAAGCGGAACTCGGAGAAGCCCCAAAAGTATGCGTGCCCTTGCAGCGTTTCAGTTGTGCCTGGACCAGGCAACGGTTCATCTTCCTCCCCCCGAAACTGAGGCTTAGGCGAGGGAACCTCGCTCTTTTCCACCACCATTTCACTCCAAAGCTGCGAGTGGCCCCACGCTGATCGAGACCAGCGCGACAAGCCATGGCGCGCTGGGCATTGTGACACCTTGTCCTTTACCTAAAGTGGTAGGAAGGCATCAAAATTCTTGAGTCAGAAGTGAAGCCAAATTCCACTAACCCTACGTTCTACCGAAAAACCGATGGAATCCCAGAGGATTGCAAGGGTTTTCAGGCAAAATTGTGTTGGCTCAGGTGACCTTGTGGACAGCGGCGAGTCTGAAAGCGAGGCTTCACCAACGTTCACCAACCTTCTGACTGAAGGGGCTGCTGCGCTGGAAGCTGCTTCAAGAAATCTGGGCTGCTTGAACGCAGGAATTTTGGATGAAAGGAAGAAAGAAATCAAGGCACACTTTGCAACGTTCTTGGGTTGGAGGCCATCGCTCTTAGGTTGGAGGCCATCGCTATTAGGTTGGAGGCCGTCGCTCATAGGCTGGAGGCCATCGGAAACAAGGATCAAAAAGGAAAAGAATAGAAAAAAAGGCTTTGATAGGTTTCGTATGTTTTGGTTTCCCAGTGCTCAGCACTCAGTACTCCGCTCCTGCCCTGCCTCATGCTGCCTCTCATGTTTCCCTGTATGCCCGGCAAGCTAAAAGCAAGACCGCAACGGAGTAACTGTAACAGTAACAAGGTGCCATTGTTGGAACAGTTCTTCCGAGGAGGTGTCTGGGCACAGCCACAGATCGATCCTAAGATGACCGCCGAAAGCGCCTCTTTGGCGGACTGTCCATGGCGAAGTCCCACTCTTGGGGACAGAGGACTGCTTGACCTTTGCATTGTTTGCATCTCCTTTATACACGACATTGTATTATTTTTTATCATATACTTGAGGCAAAGCACATCAAGGTGTCCGTTGACATGAATTGCGCAGGTGAAGCCGCACCGACATTATGCCATCATTATGCTATATTATGATGAGTTCTGGACAGGTAAACGGAGCGTTGGGAAGGACAATTGCCATGGAGTAGTTCGCATCATTAGTGGCATGCCGGTGGTTGCGCGTATCAGCGCTCAACAGAACTGTTGATAAACAAGGTAACTTTTGGCGCTTCCGGGTGGCCACCATTGATGATTTCTGCGCTGAAATGTATAGAGTACAAAGCATAAATGCAGCTTGTACATGGTGGTAACCTACTCAATGTGTTTTTCCTCCTCTGTTTGCCCCCCACACCAGCAAACCAAACAAGCAACCCACGAATAAAACTGACTCTCACAGCCTTCAACTACCAAACTCGTGAAGTGCTTCAAGCTCTTTGTATATACGTTGGCCAGTGGTGAGCAGATTAGAACACAGCAAAACTCACGGTTGGCTCGCAGTTCACCTTGTGCAGCTCCGTTCCTGCTGCGGTTGGGTAGGAATACAAAAAACATGAAGAGACAGCCGGAGTTGCTAAGTTGTTCGATAGCTGTCTGGCCGAATGCTTTGCCACTTGTCCCGCGCACGCTGAAACTGCGAAGCTGAGTCCAAAGATAGCGCACTTACTGCTTACTTTGCCCTTGCCATTGGCGCAGTGGTAGTAAGAGCTGAGCCGCCAACCCAAAAAGACGACAAGCACCTTTGCAAAGTACAATGTTGCGTGGAGGCTTGCCCGAACCTTTGGAAGATAGGTGCTAGCAGCCGGTGGTAGCTCACTTGTCGCTGTGCCATGACCGATGAAGTTGATTGAAACACGGTGGGAGCCAGGAGAGCCATCCGCATCTGCATCTGCACGGTGCAGATTCAATGGCTATGGCTCCAGTGAATGGAGGTTGGACAGCTGCTGGTGTGCCTGCCTTCTTGTCGAAGTGGGGTAGCACAACTGGGTTGTTGATGTATTGCACACAGAAGTCATTTTTGCAACCTTGATTTTGTTTTGCTTGGCTCAGTTGAGGTAAGACATTAGGTCACCGAGATGTCCAGTTGAGATTGGGGCGTGGTCAAAAAGAAAACTTCCTTCACCCCTTCCCCCTTCCAGGCCAAGGTGCCTCATTCTCATCATCTTCATCAGCCAAATCCCAAAAGACATTGTGGAGAAGAATCCCCATGGCGGCTCATGAGATTGCCTCACCGACTCACCAGCTGATCACGAAAGCTAGCCTCAGCTAGATGGAGTCGCTTTCGCAGTGGCTAGCTTTCGTTCACACCCCCGCTGGCCTCAAGTGTCCAGTTGACAACATACCCGCACCAACCACCTTTTTTGGAAGTGGCACGGGGTTTGTTTTCTTCTTCGTGGGCGGTAGATTCAGTAGATGGCCTACAACCTACATCGCGCAAGGCTTCGCGCGAGTTCTTAATAAAGTGCCACACAAGAATGCTTTCAATCAGAAACTGTAGACCTACTGTGTTCGCACAAGACACGCGCAAAGTTCTCCCAAGGCTTGCGCAAGAGCATTTTTCAAAATATCGTTGGACAACACCGGCTTTATGTCCAGATTAGAATTGCTTGAGACGCCGCCGCAAGAACAAACGTCATGCAAACATGACAGTGTACCGGTACCGTAAGACTTGCCGTGCCAGAGGGGCAATTCCAAATACCCGTAGGAAAGTCAATACCTTTTTCCTAGACGTCAGGGACTTTTTATTATTATGATTGTTTACCGTACCGAACCTCAGTCGCAGGATTCCAAAAAAATCACAAAACATTTAAGGACATGCAATTAGAATGTCGACGCAGGAAAAATAAGAGACATAGAAGGATGGAATGGTTCACCACAGCATTTCATAACAGTTTCATTGCTTCTCCTGGAACAATAGAGTAAGGTCTTACCAAGGAATTTATTATGTTGGTTGGTCTAGAGTCTAGCATATACAGAAGAGTATGCAAACATCTGTTTAATCGAGGTTCCCTAAGCTTAACTAATTGACTACGTGTTCCTGTTTAAAAATAAGAGATCCCGAAAGGCAGTACGAAACCATTGTGAGCATGTCCCTGAGAAGATGGCCGTAGGGTTGTTGAGTGCTGGGAGTGGGCCTCGCGGTTTCATTTGACTGACTCGCTTTGAGCGCTTTGGACCTTAGCTCTTATGTTCACACATAAACATACAGTCATCGCATACACACATAGACTTCAACATGGCCCGACTCAGAGGAATCGCAAAAAGCACTCGACCTGTAGCAGAGACTCGACCGTCTAGACCCCGACAGAGCGGAAAAGGCAGGCCCGGTCATTTTGAGGGATGGCAGGGACACCCCTCAACCAGGACTTTAATAAGCCAGGATGTTTGTTATGTGTGAGCTTCTTCAACCTCTGTACCAGGATTCCATAAAACACGTTGACGCAGGATTCCATAAATGCTCAAAACCTTAAGTTGTTTGGCTGCAAACCTTGGCACACAAAAATTAAAGAAATGACCTCAGCTCGAAAGGATTGTATTTTATCCTGCGTCAAACCTTTAGCGTACCTTCCTACCAGTATTTCAAAGTAGATAAGGCCATTTACCAATCCTTAGGAAAATGTTGGGAGGTGGGAGTCACTTAGTGAAATTGCTTTTTTTCCAAATAATTAACTGAAAGTATTATTTGGCAAGCCATGTAGGTGGTGATACCACAATAAATGTCACTAAATCAGTCTAGGTGGTGCATAAAGTTTTTCGTTTGATAGATATTAGTTCTAAGTAATTTTGAGTCTATGACCATCCACCTGTACAAAAATATTTAGAACACTTTTGAGTATATGAGGACCCACCTGTCTGGCTGACAGAGCAGCAGCTTGCAAACAAACACCTCAGAGCTACAGCCTCTGGGCACAATGCTTTGTGGGCTTGCTGCCAAATCAAAGCTAGAAAGAACATACTGTTTCACAAAAATGGCGAGGCACACTTGGTCCAATGCTTTAGAAGGCATCGAATCAAAGTCCACAGGCTGAGAATGTTTGGGGGCCGAGGACACCTGCCATCTCAATAGGAGGAAATTGAGGAAAAGGAAGATAACTTTGACCAAAAAACATGTAAAGGCGGAAGAAAAGGAACATGGCCACCAAATCCTATGCAATTAAACTATTTGAGAGGGTGGGTGACTACGCAACCACCCATTAAATGAGCTTCAATCACAGGAAACTAGGTGGAAAAGGACAGCGGGTGTGCACATGTTTTCCAATCTCTTGTCCTCTTCCACTGTTTCCTTGCTGTTTGTTCTGGGGTTTTGAAGATTTGGTTTAAAAAAAGCCAGGAAGAACCGGCGTAAACAAACATCAGCGGCTTAGGGGTTCGTGTTAGCCACGTAGAGCCAGGACGGTGGGACTATAGCAAGCAGCAACAGCCCCAATAATTAATTTTTGAAGGGTGGTTGACTAATCAATTATCCTTTATGACACTGTCTGTGGTAATCCGAGCTGAGTCAACTTTGGTCAACTTTAGGGGGGTGGGTCCCACCTCTCATGTCGGATCTAGGGTAGAAATGTTCATGACATTCTTGAAATTATTTGTCAGACCCTGAGAGTCCAGAAATAATTTGATGCGGATATCTCCAACCACCTCCAAATAATAGAATAAAATTTTGCGGGGGGTGGTACGGAGGGTGGGCCCACAAGGACATTGCTATTGCATTTGCCTTATACTATTTTTTGTTCCGGCCATTCTGGTGTGGAGATAATAGTTGTGCTGCTTGGGCCCTCAGGTGATGTCGGTTGGTGCATATCATTGCTATGGAACTTGCTTTTCACCTTGTCAGGCATGTGTAGTGTACATAGAAGCGGGACTTGCGTGATGTGTTGAACGTTTGCTAGTTTGGCATGTGGGAAGTCGCAGAGGTGTTGGTGGGTCACGCATATCCATGGTGGCCTGGCGCCGGATCGGCGGATCCGTCCACTTGATCGAGAAGTCTTTGCTGAGAACGGGGCGGCTCATCACTAGGGAGATGCGTCAAAGCTAAATATGGTTGCTCTACTCAAATCTGCAATTTTTTCCATCCCTTTCCTTCATCACGAAAGCTAGCCTTAGCTAGCTGAAGTTGCTCTTGCTTTAGCAACTTAAATGATGGTCCGTTGCTGCTGCTGCTGCTGCTGCTGCTTGGTGGTCTGTTGCTTGGTTGTCTGCGCAGCCACTCCCCGCCCGGCTAGCTTTCGTTCACCCCCTCTGGCCTCAAGTTGAGCCCATACTTGCCTGCGCCTGCCTGTCTGGCATTTGTTTGCTGTGGGAGGGGTTCAAGTGGAGTGAACAATGCTTTTCCCAAGTTTAATGTTTTGCCTAGTTTAATGTTTTGCCTAGTTGGTTTTGTAGTTTTTGGTAGGTTGTAGTGGTTGTGGATACCAATGACGGTTGTACCGGTGCCCTATATTGTATAGCCTGTGCTGGTATGCCCGTGTGATTGCTTCTCGCGTATTGCCCTCCAGCACCCCACAAATAAAAGGGTTTGCGTTGTGGGGGCGGGCTTGAACGCAAGTCGGTGTGGTAGACGTTTTCTCTAGCAGAGGCAGTGTGCTTTGCATTTTTGTTGAAGTGGTGCGACGCAATTGGGAAAGAACATTGCTAGAAAAACTGTAACTTGGCTTGCTGCCTTTCATTTTTTGCTTGAAAGACGTGCGTATTTCTGTAGTCCTTAGTAGCAAGGTACAGCCTACAAGCCTTAAAATAAGTAAAAATATCACAAATACGACTGGAATATACAAAATCACCAGTTGTATTTTTAAACACACACTTTTGATTTTTGTATTTTTCAAAAATTTCCGAAAGCATTGCGAAGGGTTCTTCCGGAAAATCCCTTGAACACTGACACTTCGACACTTACACACTGACATGTCCACACTTGCACTACAACATGAACGCTATACGTACCCCAGTGTAAGTGGAAGAGCGAAAGCATCCAAGTGCAAAGTATGCAAGTGTCAAAGTATGCAAGTGTAATGATACAAGTGCAATGATGAGTATGCAAGCATGCAATGAGTATGCAAGCATGCAATGAGTATGCAAGTGTGAGCATGGAAAACTAGCACGGGAGATGTCCTAATGAAAAACATTTCCCCACTTTATAAATTCTCTCTTAAAGGCGGAGGGTGGGACGAACAGCGTCAACCGAAAATGCAACCCTTTGCGGAGATCGTGCGTGTCGAGTGCGCGAAATGCAGGCGAGAGTGCG